AAAATAAAGTTTATAATCTTTGGAATGATGTACAGAAAAATAAAACTCGATCTAAAGGGTTTACTAGCATATTACTAGTTTTTGATATTGCGGCTGAAATAAATAATGCTTTTTTAGTTTTGATACCGGATTGAAGCGGCTCCTGGCGTCTAGCGACCTAGGGGCCCAATTAAGCAAGCCATGGCTCCATGGTATTTGAGCACCTGCGGTGCCTGAATGCAAAACCTCATCACTAGGACTTTGGATTGTTGGTCTTCCTTACACTTTCAAGATACGGCTATTCTAGCACCATTCCTTTCATGAAGGTGACGGTAGGTATGCTGATATCCATATCCATTCCATAAGCCAGGAGTGCGTTTATTTTGAAGGAAGAGTCAACAGCAGCAATATGGTAAGCATAACGCGTGTCTCTTGCTTAATTCTTAAACAGTGGTACTAATATATCAACCTCGGAAGGAAGGAAAACGAGTGACTCCGTCTGTTTCCGGAATCCAGTATCTCTCAGTTCTGAAAACGGCGCACTAAAGACTAGGCAACTACGGTCAGATGCAACGTCTAGTAAATTTCCTACTCAATCGAATTCGTGAATAAGACAAATATTGCCCTCGAACGGAATCGAAACTTGCAACTCCTGAATCGAAGCAGACCTCTTAATCTGGACAGTTTGAACAGTTTATGATCCTCGCTTACTCATTCCATTGATGGTTCAAGGCATAAACTGATAGCAGCACCAACAAGCAACGTGAAGAGAATGGAAATATAATCAGGAAGGGTGAGAAAAATTGAAGAGAATAAGCAGACGGTCAGAAAATGCGTTACAAGATGGCGGACGGATCAAGGGCAAAGGAAAACAAGCGTGACACAATTGGAAACAAATTTTGAGAGAGAACACAGCCTAAAACGTGACAAGAATGACTAAACAACCCGAAATGTTTAAGGAAAAAATTAAAACAACTTACCGCGAGGAATGACACCCTTGGAATTGGAAATGCCGAATCGACAGAAGGTGCAGCAGCATCATTCAAACAGCGTCAATGGTGATGTAAAATTTATTGACCAAACTGCACGCCGTCATTTATGACTGACTGAGTTACGACGATTTACCTTGCAATTTGCTCAAAATTAGTAGTGACTAGCGTACCACCCTCAGTAGCGTTAACGGAGTAAAATGTGTACAAATCAGACGAAAGGATTTATGCTCTACCTTCAGATCTACCGTATATCAAAACTAATCAGATGCGATTCTGTTTTTCGTAAAATCGCGATTTCGCGCTTTTCCCGTTAGCTCTGAGGTTTATTTGCGTGATATATAGTTTGTTTCAGTGTTAAAGGCATTTATGCAACATGTCTGGAAAAGAACGCCTGGAATCATGGCTGGACCACATGATGAAGATTTGCCTTTCCGACGGTCGCGTGGTTGTTGGACGGTTCGTGTGTACGGATTCGCAATGCAATATTATTCTTTCGAACTGCTATGAATATCTGCCAGAAACTTGTTCCAACGACGACGACAAGCCGAATGCTGAAGATGACTCTAGGTTTTTGGGACTGGCCATGGTGCCCGGTCGCCACATCGTAGACATATACATTCGTGAAAGCGCTTCAGCAAATCAGGTTTCGTCATCTCCTACACCAATGACTTGATTTCTGCCGGTCCTTCAACGCCTTTCTGCTTAGCGGGTTCAACTTACGAATTACTAATGCGTATTTACGCACTGAAGGTGCTGCTAAAATGTGATTAAATAAAAGGAGACGAACGAATGGTAAAGTAAACGAAGTTTTCTAACGGTTATCATGTACACTCTCGGTAAAATACGCAAACTTATATATGAAAGTTTCGAAAACTTTGTATAACAACCTGGGGCAATAATAAACGAAATGACTGATTTTGTAGGGAAGCCATGTATGTTTGTACTATCAATTTTATGATTAACAAGTACAATTGAGAAGTATAGGATGCACTATGGAGAACAACGTCGGCAATTCGGACTACGTTTACGCTGGGAATAACATTTTCCTAGTGATCATCAGTGTGCTTTGCTATCGAACTATTGTAGTACGTAGTTGGACGACTTTTTTGAACTACCCGATCATAAACTATGGACCCTTCCAACGACAGCTGCCTGGTCGATTCGCCTGCTCTCCCTCCGCTTGGTGCCGTCATGGCAATGCAGTGTGCATAGAGTTACTGCGCTTTCATCACGCCTCTTTACACCGTTTTTTACTGATAATTTTCCCAGGAATTTATTATGTTGAAGAGTAAGGACCTCCGCGACCCGAAAGGAGAAGCGGCGATGGAAGATGAAGATGAAGATGAAGAGTAAGGAACTGAATGGATCAATCACTGAATATACTCGTTTGTCAACGATGATAGAAACCAGAGAGCATGATATCGTCCATGACACGAACGCGATATTCGCAAGTCATGGGAGCAAAGCCTCGACGGAAATGGACATTCTTTGTTTATTTATGTCACATCTCCCATGCAAAGGCTGTCCTTTGAATGATGTTTATTATCCACTGGAGGAGACGGATACTGCTTACCTTCCTTCGGAAGGACTCGGCAAATGAAATTTATAGGCTCATTTCGATTATTTTTTTAACAGAAATGATGGTTTAAGACACAGAAAATACATTAAGTTAAGGTCAGAGCCGTCAGCGATTCAGCCAAAAACATAATTTGTCCCCAGGGCAAGCAATGACGTGGAGAAGGCTGAGTAGCCGACCTCAACATGACAGTCATAATACCCGAAAACATCGATGCGAATCAAAACGTTCATACGCTGTTACGCATGTCCAATATGAGGCAACCAATTAACTGACCCGGTGCCCAACGAAATGACAGAGCTGCACGTTTCGCTGCGTATCATAGTACAATTCGCAGAAATATAAATTGATTTTTTGGCCAGCTATTTTACGTTGTTGCTTTGATCGATCACGGTGACATTGACTTCCCTCAGTCTATGAACATTTTCTGTGATCTTTATTATATTTAAAGGTAGTGAATTACGACTGCTCTGATATGTTCTCTAGTTTGCACAAATGGTTCTAGTTTATTTTGGTCCAAATGTTTTGGCGACATAAATGCGCTCTACATTTTTTCATTTAATGAATTAAATCACATAAATAATAACAATAATAGACAGAGCTTTTCAACATGTAGCAACGCATTTCTTTAAGAAAAACTAAAACGTTTTATCCGTTGAATACGTTATTTTAGATGTTCTTGTAAGACCAATAATGTCAAAAATAATTTTTTAAATAATAAGCGTTACCTAATTCTACCTTTAAATAAAAAAGTCAATTAAAGATTATTTAATCATAGATATATTAGTAACTTACATATAAAAGCTCTATTAAAACTAGTATGATATTAACTATTTCTAAAAATACCAACTCTCTGGCGGGTGGGCAAACTGTCGTGTAACTGCGGAAAACATTATTTATGAGAAATGAAGAACACAGCCGCCTAAGACAAGACACCCACGTAAGTTACCACGGAACGAACGTGAATGACATGCGGAAATAAAGCATCCATGAAGATAACGAGTTCTCTCCCTAACCAGGTCATAGAACAATTCGAGAAAGCCTCCGGGTTGCACAATCCTGGATTGTGATCAAGATCACCGTTTCCAATGTTCAAATTGCAAAGGCATCAGCGAAGAAAAAACTGGCTGAAGAGACGCCTCACGGATACATTAATTATTCATTCTTGTGACAGTGTCAGCGGATACAAAGGATGTAAATTTTTTACCGATTGGTCACGCTTTCACGACTGTTATCAAAAATCTACTAGGCAAGCAGCTTGGATAAGGGCATACAATTGCGTTAAACGTACTTTTTCAGCATTATAAAAGCCACGGACCACAAAGCAAGCTACGGAAATCAACCACGTTCACCATCAAGAATGTACGTGAGACAAGAGGCGGAACGCTGGTACTGGTCAATCACTCAGTTCACTGAACTGTTTGCCTATTGTATGAATAATGGTATTCTTATACTGTTTTCATTACAGCACATTAATTTGAATCCAAATCGATCTGTGTTATAGGGCTCCCAGCGTTTATTCCCTGAGAAAAATATGCTGAGACCTTCTTCTTCTTCTAAAAATTAGTGAATTTCTTGAGATATATCGAGAATACGCCGATTTATAGCTGCATTATTACAATAAGCTGTAGGGGCAATTACAAAAATTTATCTAAGCAGAATTCATCAGTTTTCCCGAACATCTGCTTCTGTGCAAAGCGATGCAAAGATGTTTCATACTGAAAAGGTCTCTGAAAAAATTTGACTAACATTTCAATATTGTTTTAAATAACATGTATTTATTTACGTTGTTAGAAGTCGACCGAATGGTACAAGAAGAGGTAGTTTGTGCCTAATCCAGTCTTCGTAACTTTAATGAGTCGAAAGGGTGAAGTAACTATATAATTATTGCGTTTGAAATACTTAACAACGGGTCAGTTTTTTGGAGAATTTGAAACGTCGTTGTATCACCTTTGAGAGAAATCATATCTAAATTGCTTAGTTAACTCTGTTGCAATTCATTCTCACTTCGGTTTAACCCTCGTAGTAAATTGTGATGAAATTCTCTGAATCTCTAGAAGCAAGAGACTGTGCAGCCTAAATTTGATTGGCCGAAACGCATGTGTCATTATACCGCCGGTAGTGAAGACTAACTTTTGTCAATAAACCAACATTTCAATAATTAATGTCGGTTAATAACAGAACTCCGCCATGGCCGGTCCCAAGCCCGGATGAGAAAGGAGGAGGGTTGGAGACCGTGGCAAGTC